ACGGGTAGAAAGGGCGACAATGCCTTAACCCATAGAAGACCACGATGAAGTGCATCTAGCTCCTTCCTTGGTATAGACCAAGGGAGCTGAGGAATACTGAATAGACCTCCCTTAGCAGCCAAGCGAACAGAGAGGTTTGAAGTAGATCTCAGGTCTACTCCCCAGGCATCTTTGGAAGCGTCAGTGCTTAATACTAGAGGGGAGTCGAAGGAGATATAGCGTGGTGTTGGCATAGACTTGACCAATCTCATTGATAGTGTTGCCCACGTACAGACTTCATCCTTGAGACTAGAAGGTATAGTTGAATCCCACTCAGTAGTGGACTTGTTGATACTACGCCAGATAGATCTCGCAGACATATCGTGCTCCACTATTAGACCTAATGGATCGTAGAAGCTTGCCAGTACCGCACAAGACTGTCGCTTGGTCATAGGATTCCCTTGAAGTTGACCACCACTGAAAGTAGGGTAGAAGGAATCCTCGACAGCAGAATAGTCATAACCAAGTAGATGGCGTCGTTCTTCGACATCGTTGACCATCACAGGCTCCCAACTATTAAAACGCTTCTTAGGTTCAATGACGAAGTCGTGACCATTAGAGATATAGGTAATGAAGTCATAGCTTGATGTAACTCTAGACTTGTTAGATCCACCGGTATAGACATCATCGACAAACTTGATCAGTGTGATCTCCTTGGGGACCGGTGGACAAACCTGTAGATAGGAGAAGGCCTCAGTGCTAGATCTCAGTAGACAACGCTCAACCAAATGAGGCTCAATATCACATAGACGAGTAACCGGAGCTTCAACTGTAGAAGCCAGCTTGGACAATGCCTTGATCTCATTAATCACATCTTCCATAGAAGCGTCAAGTTGATTAGGCGCTGCTGTAGAGCCAAAGGCTACACGGGACCATAGAACGATGTATGGTCCGATACAGGTGTAGCCAACATATGGAACATCCTTAATACTAGAGGACATTCTACAGAATGCCTTAGATAGATCTCCAGCTATGAAATACTCATAGGATCGAATAGCAAGGAGGCAACCGGCTAGAGAGTTCTGAGGATAGCCACCACGATTAGAGAAGCGGTTTAGGT